ATTCGTAGGAAATACACTTAAAATATTAAAAATGACTATCTCTGGGTGATAGGATTACAAGTAACTAATATAATCTTCAGCATTGCGTTATCCCCCTCCCCAATTTCTACAGTGAACAAAAACTATTTCTTAAATAAAACATACTTTTATTAAAATATTCAGTTCAAGGGGAGGCTGGGTGGCTCAATCAGTTAAGCATCTCCCTACAGCTCAGGTCATGATCATGGGGTCCTGGGATTGAGCCCCACATCGGGCTCCTTGCTCAGCGGGGAGTCTGTTTCTCCTCCTCCCTCTGCCTCTCTGCCTGCTCCCTCTCTCTCCCAAATAAATAAAATATTTTAAAAAATTAAAAAAATATTCAACTCAAGAATATATTTTATATCCCATTGCATATCTGGCAATAGAATATGAAATATATTCAGTTTCCATGTGTTAACTTAGTATACTGACATTTTTCACAAAGCAATGTTAGTAACTTGAAATGTTCCACTTTCAAAATCTAAATGTTGAATTTCCCTTCTTTGCCCAGAGTTCACTCTCCCTTCCCCTATACATCTTCTTCTTCTATTCGTATTAATCCTGCTCCTCAAAATCATCACTATTTCTAGCCCTTAGATGGCTCTCTAGAGCCGTGGTCTCCAAGTACTTTGACTTTGTTCCTGATTCCTTATCAGCAAAAATATCTAAACATGGACCCTAATAAAAAGTATATATACTTAGAAAATCTTTACATGTACAACTATAATAATGCATCATAAAATAGAAATAAAAATTAAATAATAAGGCATCAGATGAAGATGAAATGATTGTTCAATGTAACTGATATAAACCAGTGCATTAATAATAAAATACATTTTGTAGTTGATAATGCTTTATTATTTTATTTTTTCAAAGATTTTATGTATTTATTTGACAGAGAGACACAGTGAGAGAGGGAACACAAGCAAGGGGAGAGGGAGAGGGAGAAGCAGACCTCCCGCTGAGCAGGGAGCCCAATGCAATGTGGGGCTCCATCCCAGGACCCTGGAATCATGACCTGAGCTTAATGACTGAGCTGCCCAGGCACCCTCACTTTATTATTTTAGAAAAATCTTAGTTTAACCCTCTGTTGTTTAGTAAATAAAAAAGATTGATTTAATTTATCTTAATGCTTGATTTCAGTAACTCATTCTACTTCAAAATTTTGTCAGTTATAATATGAACAGGGTGAAATAAAGATATTTAACTAATTGTAGAGGTGTATATATTAAGTGATTAGAATAGCAACCTCTCAATCAGAATGAACACAGGCTTAGACATCTAACCCCAAGTGTTTTTACCAGTTAACCATCAACCATAATTTCAAGGAAAAAAGAATGGCACTCTAGTTATATTTGGCTGTAGTTGCTTTTAACCATTACTTTTAAAATAAAGTTAAAAAAAATGCCAATCTATGCCTTTGAGGTATAGGTGTTGTTTTAACAAAAACATGTCCAAGTGACTGTTTTGAAAGGATTAAGCTATAGAGGAAGAATTTGGAAAAATAGATGTTTGGAAAATTTTTCACTGATTCCTGACTTTTTTCCCCAACATTATTTGTTATATAGAAACACTTTTACATGTGCATGCTTAAAACCAGAATTTTATAACTGAAATGGTAGAAATAATTAAGAAATGAGTATTAGGATCTAATAAACTTAGCTAAAATTCCTTTTTCTGTTTTGGACTTCTGTCTTTGAAATATAAAGCTATGACAGTACCCTTTCAATAAACTTTCTGCTAAATCAGTCTATCAGCTTCTGTTTCTTGAAAAAAGTGATCCTATCTAAAAACTCAATCATATGGCTAGTTATTATATAGGCTTATGTACATAACTAATTTGTTTCCGCTATAAATTGTGCATTCTTTGAGAGGTAGCACCATCTCTTACTCATTGCTTGTAGTTACTTCTTGGACACCTAAAATGCCAGGGCTGGTGCTAAGTGCTTTACAGTCTAGCCCTTGAACAACCTTATAGCCTGGCCTGATACTGGTATCTTGCTCATTTCACAAGTGAGAAACTTCAGGTGATTTTCCTAAGACCACACAGCAACTAAGACGCAGCGCTGAGGTGTGAGTCCTGACATTCTGGCTCAGGGTCATCATGCTTAATCAGAGCACCATACTGCTAGGTTAAGGACACCTAGCTTTAAATGAAACAGAGTCGGCACTTTATTGGTACAAGTTGGTAACAACCAAAGGAACAGAAAAACAATATTAGAAGCATTTCCTTATTGAACTAGATTTATTGTAATTTAATTGAGGGAAAAAAAGCATACTGCTGTTATATTGTAGTTCTAGTTTGTCAAAGAAGTGGCAGCTATGATTTTTACTATTTCTCAGCTATAGAAATCTCAGATGAAAGGTTGGATAACAGCAGGAATTTGTAATCTCATATCTTCCTGAATTATTGTTTAGAGAACAAAATGCAACAGGTGACTTTTTAAAAATTGATGGGGACTGAAATGTTTCTTTTGGGCTTAAAAAGAAAAGGCAGGTCTAAAGAAAAGTGAAAGACATAGATTGACAAGACTTCCTACCCCAAAGGAGAAAGGAAATAGAAACTTACATTTGGAAAACAAAGAGGAGAATGAAAATGAAAGTTATCAGAGGAAAACATCTATTCAAAGAAAAAGCAAAAAATAAACTAAATCACAATGCAAAATTATAGATAAAGAAAAAAGACACATTATGAGAGACTGAGGCTTGGCTTTCTCCACCTTCAATCTCCTCCCTCCAGAATGGTCCTATCAAGATTATGGAAGATTCCTAAAAAAGAGGTACCTTTCCACTTTCCTTCTGGTGTTCATACTCACACTCAGTCTTCATCATTCAATCCTCATCTCTCAAAGTGACTCTTACTTGAGAGTAAATATGAATTGTTATTGATAGATATTATGAAATGCTGGTGGTGAGAATTAGAGGGCGTCTATATGAAAAATCAGCTGGCGAAACTGTAGTGTGCATTATTATCTAGGTCTTACTAACATCAGGAACAAGACAAGGGTGCCCACTTTCACCACTCATATTCAACATACTATTGAGGTCCTGGCCAGAGCAGTCAGGCAGGAAGAAGAAATAAAAGGTATCAGAACTGGACAAAAAGAAGTAAAATTGTCTCTATTTGTAGATGACATGATTTCATACAGTGAAAATCCTAAGGACTCCAACAAAAACCTGTTAGATCTAATCAACTAATTCAGTAAAGTTGTAGGATATGAAATCAATGTACAAAAATCAGTAGCGTTTCTATATACTAACAACAAATTATGTGAAAAAGAAATAAAGAAAACAATTCCATTTATGATAGCAACAAAAACAACAAAATACTTAGGAATGGATCTTACTGTAGGTCTCATAGCATTTGTTCCCAAGTGGCACATTGCCTATTTTCTAGCTATTATTTGGTATCTGTATTCCCACTTCCACTTGAATGTAAGTTCCATAAAGTTAGAAGCTTTGCTCAGTTTTATTAACTACACAAAAGCAGCATTGATCATATTGTAAATACTTATAATAAATATTTTTAAATGACTGCATGAATGAATGACATAATCTGAACACCAAACACGTAAGCTTCTACTTTTGACCCTCAGTCATCCAAATAGCAATTTGACGGTGTTAGGATGATGACATTATTTCCCCATATTTAGCCATCAATCCCTTTTATCCTCCAGTGATTGACATTCAAGAACAGAAGAATGGGCATCAGGGGACAGAATGGTTTTTGGTTGCTTGGTTGGCTTTTGTTTTAATGTACAGAATGAAACCTGTCAGCACCTCCAGGGCAGGGGTGGAGGGAATTTCTTGGAATAGTCCTAAAAGATATCTTCATAGACCCAATAACTAAAATCGATCATTGAATACTTTTGTAAAAACATATAATTTAATCTCTTTTTTTAAGATTTACTTTGAGAGAGAGAGAGGGAGCGTGAGCAAGTGGGGAGAGGGGCAGAGGGAGAGGAGACAATCTCAAGCCAACCACCCACTGAGTGCAGAGCCTGACGTGAGGCTCGATCTCATAAACTCATCAGATCATGTCCTGAACTGAAATCAAGAGTCAGACACTTAAGCAACTGACCCCTTAATCTCTCTCTTTTTTTAGGTACAAGGTCAAATCCCAAAATTAATACATACTGTTATTTTATGAAGAAACAGAAAAGAATAATATAAAGCAGGTCCACCTGCAAGGCCAAAGTTTATTTCACTTCAGTAACTTTCACTATGTGTTTGACATTAGACCAGCCGCTAAGGTCAAGGCAAATAAAACTCCCATTGAGGGTAATCAGCAAGGACCTACTGGTTAGGACCTACTGTTTGTATTCTACTGGTTAGTGTGTACACATGGCCTCTCTTCAAGCAGCTGACAATCCTACAGGGAAGAAAATAGCTCAGCTATATAATATAATTAGAGCATAAAATAAGATGACATGCTATAAAGAGCTCAACTGAGTATTTTGTACGCCTCTGAGAAAAACAAGGACTCTGTATTTCTCTTATCCAGTCCAAAGCAGCAGGAGGCTCCCCTGTCCTATCTAAACTTCATTGAATATGCTTAGTTAAGAGATTACTTTTCCTAAATGTATCTCTTTAATGGCTTAACTGACCCCTCCCTTCTCCGCATAATTCTAGACCGAGAGATTCTCATGGTAAAGGCATACACACTATCGCCCACAGGCCCCCAGGACAGCAGAATGTGAGTAGCAACCTGAAGGACTCACTTTTATGTGGCTTCTGTACTGAACCGAAGCTGCCATTTTTCAGTGTGGGTGTCTTTTTTTTCCCTCATGACATAGACAAATGTTGATGTTTACTACAAGTTGGTACATTAGTTGCTAATTAAGTTCCTCACTGCTTCAGCCAAAACTTTCTGTATTGAATCCAAGAAAAGAATGGCAGCTATATCAAAAATAAGTTGTTGGGGGATTTTTGTTTTGTTTTATTAAAGGAAAGTTGTATATTAAAGAATATGGGGAACTTACAGGCTGGGAGATAGAAAACCTTCATTCTTGGCTTGCTCTTAAACTGAGTTGGTGGTTAGAGTCCCTCTGCGTCTGTCACCAGGCCCTGGTCAAAGCCAAACAAATACTACAGTTTACACATCAGGCAGTCAAATAAACCCTTTATCATTATTCCCTCCTTTTCATACCCACAAATTCTCAGAGGAAAGAGCTGGCTTGGGCGGACCCACGGGAAGTCAGGTTTACTCTAGATCGGGTGCAAAGTTCATTCATTCTGGGGCTCTGGGTTCACACCTCTCTGGAAAGATGTCTTCGTAGCTTTATTTTCTCCACCTGCTTCCTACAATGTGATCATCTTATCTCCAGACCCGGGGTGGGGGGGAGGTGGGGCAGAACCCACCTGTATGCACCAGCCGAGGGTAACTCCTTGCTGGCGTCAGGGTCCGGGGCTGTTTCTCTTCACTTCTGGACCGGGAAGTCCCGCATCACGCGCTTCCAAGCCCTCCACATTTTCGCTGACGGGGTTGGGGGGAGGGGGCGGTCATGCAAGACGGCTGTGGGAAAGAAGTCTGAGTTTTGAGGCACAAAAGTCAAAATACCTGCAGGCGGAGAGTGGCCGAATCGCGGCTTTCGAATTCGCTTTCCTTTTCCGTTTCCCACAGCGCCTGCCACCAAAACACTGTCCTTGCCACAGCCGACCGAAGGGCGTCTCCTGTGCTGGGAAACCAACACTTCCCCGCCCCGGCGGATTACGTCTGGAAAGGCCCGAGGAGGACGCGGAGAATCGAAACAGAAACCCAACTCCGGCGAACTACAAGAACTGCCTTGCGGAAAGCGGGGCTCAAAGCTCCCACCGGGAGTTGGCAGCGGCGGCATCTGGGTCCCCCGCCAGGGCGAGCACAGCCGAGAAGTCGGAGGGGTCGCGTCCGCTCGCAGCTTCGCGCCGCCGGGTCCCTGAGACCCGCCCCCTGCTCAGGTGCGGCCGACCGAGCACCGCCCCCCCGCCCCCGCGCCCAGCGCGCCGCCCTGGGGGTCCTGCGGGCCACTGGCTCGTCAGGCACAGCGCTGCGGACCCTGCGGCTCCAAACCGACCGCGGGACACCCAGCTCACCTGTTGAGCAGAGAACAGCAAACCGTCCGTCTGTTGGGGAGAATCCTCTCCCTTCGCTGCGAGAGGAAAGATGTCGAACGGCTCTTCTGCAGACAAGAGTTTCTGCTATCTCATCTCGTGTTTCAGGGCCAGAGTGAAAACGTACATCCAGGTGGAGCCGGTGCTGGACTACCTGGACTTTCTGCCCAATGCCGTGAAGGAGCAGATCCAGAGGACCGCGGTCAACGCTGGGAACATGCAGGCGGCTGATGAACTTCTGAACGCTTTGGAGAAGGGAGGCTGGCCACCCGGCTGGGCTAGACAATTTCTGGTGGCCCTTCAGAGAGCAGGTAGCGTTTTAGCCGCCCGATACCTGAACCCAGAGCTCACTGACCTGCCTTCGCCATCCTCCGAGAACACTCATGATGAGTGTCTCCAATTGCTGAACCTCCTCCAGCCCACCCTGGTGGACAGACTTCTGGTTAGAGATGTCTTGGATAAGTGTGTGGAGAAGAAACTGTTGACAAATGAAGACCGTAATCGGGTAGGTGTCAGTTCAGATGGAGGCAGAGTTTGTAACTCGGGGCTGCTCCTGCCTTTGCCCCACTCCAAATGTTCTTGGATATCTCTGGGTAATTGTTTCCCTCCTTTCTTGAGAAGAGAATAGTTAGGCACTTAACCTATTTTGAGAATTGGAGTGCAAAGAAAGCTCTTTTTCTAATTCTTTCACTAAAAGAAGCCAAAGAGGTGTTAACTCCAAAATAGTAACTCATACTAATAGATAACATTTATTGAGCACTTACTATAGGTGCTTAGCATCATTTGCAAAACTTATGATCAGAGTTCATGCTCCCAATGACTCATTACGATTTTTAAGGTTATTAATGTTGTTTTACAGATGGGAAAACTGAGGTAGGTTATGTAACTTGCCCAAGGTGTCCCTGGAAAGCAGTAGCAGACTTAGGGATTTTGGTTCTGGTGGTCTACAGTTTTACCTCTCACTTTATATAGTTCGATAGAACAGGTATCAGCAAACCATGACCCATGGTCTAAGTCTAGCCTATTACAAGTTTTTGCAGGCCCAAACAATAAGAATAGTTTTCACATTTTTAAATTTCCAGTGCTCATAAAGAAAGTTTTATTGGAACAGAGCCATGCTCATTCATTTACATACTACAACTGCTTTCGCACTTTAGGAGCAGTTGAACAGAGACCATACAGCCCACAAAGCTTACAGCATTATCTGAACTTTACAGAAAAAGACTGCCAATCTTTGGCCTATATTATTATAAATTATGCCATTTGATCTTGGTCCAAATGGAGAAATTACATCACACACACACTTTTTTTTTCTTTGATCAAAGTTATGACATTCTCTGGGAATTAAAAGTCGTAGATAATTTATTGGAAAAAAAATGTTGCCAGTTCCAATTTTTCATCTTAGCAAAGGCATTTTGACAGGGTGAATTTTACAGGTCACTTTACACTTAATGTAATGTTTCTTTGTTCATTGTTTTTCAATGAACAAGGATGTACTGTGAAGTATAGAAATGCTGACCTACGTTGAACATGACTTATTCTGGGTTGTAAGTAAATAAATATCTTATTTTGAAAAGCACGTAAGCAAATAACCAAACCCATGAGTAAAAGTCAAAGGCTTTGTCTAACATGCTATGATTCTGACTTTTTCTTTCCTCTCTCTCTCTCTTTCTTTCTTTCTTTTGGATTCATCAGTTGTTTTTGTCTGTTTTGCAAAGTTCTGGACATTGGCCTCATGTTAGCCTGTGATGTAACTTTGTCTTTAGCAACTAAAGTTGATAGTCCTTTGTAGACTTGACAGCCATAGGGCCTGTCCAAAGACCCAAGCATGCATCTAATTTTGATGGCTGGTTTTCCCAACAAGTAAATTACTTTACACTGTTGTCTGTAACGTTTATGTAGTTTTGTGTATTGAGAACCAGCTAGAACGCATTATAGTAGTCCAGCTGGATATGACAAATGTGTACATCACTGTGGCAGAATCTTAATTTGGAAGACAGTATGCAGCCTTCAAGCCAGCTGGAGATGGAAGATGGCATTTCCAGCCACAGTAGCTGTTAGGAAGTCCAGAAGCAACAGAGTCCAGTAACACCACAAAGCTGTTTATGTTTGGTGGGTATGATGTCCCGATTGCCAGCGAAACAGCACTTCTCCTTATTTACTCTAAATACTTCTGCCTATCAGCATCACTTTTGTCTTGCCTGGATTGAATTTCCGCCAGCTAGATTTTATCCAAGTTCTTGATTCTGGCAAGCTTGGAGGCAGCTAGCAGTAATGCAAGGGATTTGACACAAAGAAGATGTAGAGTAAAAGGACATTTATGTACTGGGTAGCAGTTAAAGTCAAAGCAACCCAAACTCTCCCTCAAATTCATATTTCAAAAGAGGCTCTGAAAGATGGAGGAGCTATGCATTTGAAGCTTTCTGAGGCAGAGTAGTGTCTCTGTGACATTCTGGAATCATGTCTACATGTCGTTTTACATGTATCATCATCAAAGCTATCAAAGACAATGGAAAAATAAGCTATCGGAGACAGTGAGAAAGAAGCACTAGGTTTAGAAGAATCTGTATTGATCTGGGGGTCATTGATGAATATTTATCTCAAAACAGCAAAGTGTACTGGGGAAAAACATGAGAGTTCGGAATGGGAAACCTGGTTTTGAGACCTATGGTTGTTTCTTACTCTGTGTGTTACTTTGGGTCAAGTTATTTAAATTCCTTGATCCTAAATTTACCCATGAAAATGGACATAATATCTCCTCTCACTCATGGTACCTTAGAGAATACAAATGAGAAATCATGTTTATGAAAAAGCTTTTTAATGAATAATAATAATAAAGAGTTGTTTTGACATGATGACGATGATGACTTTTATCATCATTCACTTGGTTACAACTCCTTGTGAATTTAAAGTTTCAGAGATTTAGGTGAATCAACCACATTGAAACTAAGATCTGCTTAAAGCCCCTGCATTAAACTGGGATTCCAAGGAAAAACTATGTCTTTCATCTTTAGAAACCTAGCCAGGAGTAGGTATAGAACTGGTACTTGATAAGTATTAACTGATTGATTGAATTTATTTCCCACAAGTTGTCTGGGATAAGGGATAAAAACACGTGATGTCATGGATTGCCTTGCCAGGCATTTGGAAATGGATGGATGATGGACATAAGATCTCCAAATTTGCTTTTGGATATCCTAAAGTAATATTTGACTAAGAAGTCAGGACTTCTAAAAAATATTTTATTATAATTATTTTCTGTTTTCTAGCAGACATTTTCTACTTGGTCTGTCATTTTAGTTTATGGTTCTCATGTCCATCCCTGAAACCCCTGCCCTTCATACGCCAGAGCCTCTGGAAATTATCCTAGATTTAGTTTTGTATCCAGCAAGTACCCAAAGAAACTTATTTAATGGATTGACTATTCATTCATTCGGTTTAAATTTATGGAGTGACATCTTGTGGCAGATATCATGCCAGTGGTGAAAAGACTAGATAATAATGCTGATACTGTCTGTGCGGTCATGGAGCTTATATTGTAGTGTTGATCGGTATTCATTCTTCTAATAAATAATGTCTAGTGTATGCAAGGCACTATTGTAAATACTGGAGAGTCAACAATAAATACCAGAATCACTTTACAGATCATTATAATATAATGATCCTTAATAGAAAGGGGCTGCCCCTGTACTGACCTGTTTTATTTTAGGCTGCTTCGTGACCTCTTGGCATTGAGATCCATTGACATCCATTGACTTAAACATCCATGAACTCTGGAAAAGAAGTGAACATAGAGACATTTCCAGTGTCTTAATATCAGTCTGAGCAGATGAAGAGAGGTTCATGTTTCAGTCCCAGCCAGTTCAAAGCATTAAACATCCAGAGTCCAGGAAGACCACATATGCCTTCAATTTACATGGGAGAACCAGAGATACTTTGTTCAGTCCAGCTAGAAACCAAGTCCAGTGGTCCTTATATGAAGCTAAAACATGAGTCAGTCTCTCCCAGCTCATTATATTGTCAGGTAAATTAGTATGTGTAAGAATTTTATTAGGAAGAAAAGTACTAGTAAGAAGTTAGTTATGTCAATGTGATGATATGTATTCATTTAGAAACACATTAACTTTTCTTTAATGTTATCCCTTTTACATTTATTAGCTAGAATTCTTTTTTTATTAACATATAATGTATTATTTGTTTCAAGGGTACAGGTCTGTGAATCATCAGTCTTACACAATTCACAGCACTCACCATAGCACATACCCACCCCAATGTCCATCACCAAGCCACCCCATCCCTCCCGCCCCCCTTCCCTCCAGCACATTAACTTTTTATGGGGAACTAGTTTTTTTTAAATCTCTTTTTAAATTTAAATTCAATTAACTAACATATAATGTATTATTGGTTTCAAATGTAGAGGTCAGTGATTCATCAGTCTTATATGACACCCAGTGTTCATTACATCACATGCCTTCCCTAATGTCCATCATCCAATTATCCCATCCCGCAACCCCCCTCCCCTCCAGCAACCCTCAGTTTATTTCTTATGATTTACAGTCTTCTCTTATGGTTTATCTCCCTCTCTGATTTTGCCTTGTTTTATTTTTTC